CTTTTTTTTGAGAAACATCCTAGTTTCGAGCAGGGCGAGGCCTATCTTGTGCAGAATTTGCGCTGCTTTTGGATCTGTTGTCAAACTTGCTTACTCGCCGTTTTCAAAAAGTTACGGCTCGGTTTAGATAAAAATCTCTGAAAATCGCTCTTTTCTAGTGGAAAACTATTAATTCCCCGATTTTTTAGCTCTCCAAAGTGCCGCCCTACGTCACCCTCTGCGTCGAGGGGAAATTTCCGTTTGATGCGGAGCGACTGCTCTCCCCGCGGGTATCAATCGTGCTAAAGGTAAGTAGTCGCTCCAACGCTCGGATAAGTTTTTTCCAGTTTGCCGTCGGCGACGAGGGCCATCTATGCGCCGCCCCGGACTCTACGGCCAAGAAAGCCCTACTCGCCGCCAAGCTCTCCGACAAGCCGCACGTGCTCGGGAATATGGTGTGCGAGCTGTCGACCGGATGTGAGATTATGCCCCCATCACTCTCGTACATGCCCCTCCTGGCTGCTGTTGGAGTCAGCTGGAATACACAGGTAAGATTACGACTGGAAAATTGAAAAGTTCTTGAAAATTACACTTTTTTTGTCGAAAACGGCGATGTTTGGTGGAAAAACGTTGTTTTCTTTGAATCGAAAGAATAATCATCTTCGCTAACTCAACCCTTCAGAATTCTCAATTTCAGACGGACATGCGGAAATTCGCTTTCCTCCTGCCCTCGATCACCGCCCATCACTTCCTGTTGGATGGCGATATGACGCAGTTATTCGAGCAGGCCTCGACTCTCGGGCGGGTTGAACATACGTTAACTAGGTGGGTTTTGAGCTTCTGGAGTATTTATAGTAATTAAGAAGGTTTCGAGATAGTTAGTAGCCCCTACCAGGTAGATAATTTTTTTTTCGGATCAGTAAATTTCCAAAAAATATTTACGGATTTTTTACGCCTTTCTACAAAGAAATGCAGAATTGCACGTTCTATATCTAAAAATATCTTGAAACACCTATAAAACCAAGTAATCAAATTTCTAAAGGATTTTTCATGTTTTTTTTTTGCTGTGATTTCGTAACCTATAGCTTTTATAAATGGTCAAATTCATTAACTTTGATGGTCTTTAGCAAAAAAAACTGCCTTTTTATAGGCGTGTTTCGGGATTTTCTGGACTTAGAAAGTATTTTAACATTTTAATGACAGGTTATTAGGTCGTTTTAGTTCATAGGCGCTTATGCAAGAGCTTTATTCTGGACAAAGCATGTTACGAAAATTGTTTCTAGATACAACCTCGGCCTCTGGAAGCCGTCGTCGCCCGACTTGGACTCGTTGCTGAAAGATGAGGTATGGGAAAGATACCTTTATAACGTGCTCCTCCCATTTAGCTGTCCACCAAGATGAAGACGTCCATCTCGGTCTTCGTCGAGATCATCCTCAACCCGGAGAATCTGCAGCTCGATCGATTGACCCCGGCCATATTCAAGGTTTGCATGTTTTGCTTGATTTTGAATCCTCGATTCCAGAGAGCTCGCGTCGAGCTGCGCAAGAGCGCGCGCGCCTTGGACGAGGCGCGGAAGAGCCTACCCTACAATTTCGAGCTGGCGTTGGTTTTGGCGGAGATTCGCCTCGCCACCGAGCTTTTGGGGTTGGCGTCGAGGTAGATTCGACGCCGCCTTTCTAAGAACTTTTCAGGCTCGGCCAATCCTTGTGCATCCACAGCGTCAACGCGCACTACGGCAGCGAGGCCGAGCGCAAGGTGAGAACGGGTTTTCGGAATTTTATTCCGTTTTTAGCGCTCAAGCGATGGGCCATGGATGGGCGCCTCGCCTGGCCGTGTCGGCGTCTCTCATCTACCGCTGACGATCCGGACGGATCTGGCGAATCAGTGGGTTTTTACATAATTTTCTATAAATTGGCTCGTTTTCATCGTTTTCTAGAGGTGCTCTAGATTTTTAAAATTTATTGGTATTTTTGCAGGTTTTCTAAGCATTATTTATTTTTTAAAGGCCGTAATCGTTTTGTTTAGTAAACGTTTCTAGAGATTTTCTATTTTTAGGCATTTTCTTGATTCCTTTTTGGATTTAATTAATTTAATTTAATTTGATTAATTTGGAAAATAACTTAAAAAATTTAAAATGTTTGCAATTAATTTAATTTAATCATTTAAATTTTAGCGTTTTTGTAGATTGTTTGATTTATCTTCTTCTATTTCCTGATCCTTGCCTAAAGTTTTTACAAGTTTTAGGGTTTCTAATTTAAGATCCAGCTCTTTCTAAAAAATTTTCGTAGGGTTTCTTCCTAAAAACCATCCGATATGAATTTTCCGCGCGAAATTCCCATTTTCCAGGCTGCTGTCGATCCGCGCCCAGTTCCAGCACGTCTGGCTGTCCCGCTCGATGCCGTCGACGTTGCCGAACGCGATGAAGATGTTCAACAACCTGTTCAAGGCGCTTCTCCCGCCCGACATGCACGAGTACGGGCAGCAGCTGCTCTAAAAAATTACTCGTTACGCCTTTTACATTCCCGCAGTCTCTCTGTAAAAATAAGTTTACGTGCTCGCCGTGATTCTACCGTCCCCCCCATTCTCCGCATAACCATGATTGTGTGTTTTTCCGGTACTGGGCTGTTAGCGGGGGGCACTGTGTTTTAGATGAATCCACTACATCGCTATAGCAAAATATACGGTTGAAGCAGGAAATAAAATTTTCGACCAATTTTTGAATTTTTGGTTGAAAAAATCACGAAAAAGGGCAATATTTAAAAAATGGGTTATAACTTTCTGGCAACCAAATTATTGAAAAAACTATAAAGAGAAATTACATTTTATCAATAGTCGGAAAAAGAAAAATTAGTTTTCCCGCTCTGCTAACCCTCCCCCCCCCCGCTAACGGTTCAGTACCCGTTTTTCATGCTTGTCTAATGCCGAAAAGTGTCTCTTATACGCCTACTAGTATATTAGTGCCTATGCCATGTAATCTACCACCATCTGTGAAAAACCATATAGTCAAAACGCGAATTCTGCCTGTCCTCGACTCCGCTTGTGTGATATATCCCGTACCCCAAATGTGCCTCAACCACCCAGCCCGTTTCTGTGATATAATAAACCACACACCCTCCCCCCAAATATCCCCCACTTTTTTGTGTTTCCTTTTTGCTTCTTTTTAGCTTTAATCCCGCCCCTCATCTCTTTTGCCTTGTAATTTATTTGTGGCCTCGGCTGAATCGGATTTGCCACACTTCTGGGTATCACATTCTCTTTTTGGGGCCAAAATCGACCGTCTGTGTTTTTGCGCGCTTGCAACTGTGTTAGTGGGCTTTTTTCGGGCTTTCCGCAATGCTTTTTCTGTACTTGATAAAATATTTATTTTCCTCGTGGAAGGGGGGTGGGATTTTCCTTTTTAATGGAGTTGAAGTATCTACCGTAATCACGATAGTACTGAAATTAAAAGTTCAGTTTTCAAGCGACGCCGATTTATGGCTGAATCCTTTAATTTTATTAAGAAAAAAAATATCGATATTTTAGGCTATATCCCAACGATGCCCAGGCATGAACGGCGCAGCTCTAGGAGTCCAAAGTATGTTTTTCCATTACTTTTCACCTTTTTGGAACGGTTTTTAGTTGCTAGGCGACGATTATTATCTAAAATGTCGTAGTTTTTGATTAGTTTTGTAAGAAAACAGCTTTTAAACCTCTAATATCGTTGTATTCTTAGACGTGACCGGTCGCGAGATCGCCACAACCGACGCCGCTCGCGCTCCAGGGATCGTGATCGTCGTGACAAGAAATCGGCAAAACGCGAATACGAGGATGAGCCGGAGAAGAAGGTGGCTGTCCCATTTTGATTCACTTATTGGTTTCAGGTGGTCGATTTGCGGCAAAAGCTGCGCGATGGGCTCGCCTCGGCCAGTGTCTCCTTGGCTGCCCGAACCGCTACTTCGACAGTAGTGCAAGACGGTGAGTTCCGTTACGCTTTTTGTCGCTCGGGCGCCAAGCGGGCCTTTATCGAAACGATTTGGGGATAAAGAAATCTTTTTCAGACGAAGTAACACTAGACGAGCGCGGCAACCTCTCACGTGTGCGACAAATCGAGGCCATCGACTCGGAGAGTCCATTCCGACCCAAGCAATTCAAGTCGACGGCCGGTGGCGGTGGCGGAAGAGCGTACGGGGATAAGGTAAATTTTAAACGTTTTTAGATACCTTTTTCGGATCAAATCGTTTCGATACCATTTATCCAATTTTTTGATTAAATTTTTGTTTTCTCATGTGCCTGTAACTCTTCAAATCTGCTTTTCCAGAAACAACAACCATCGAAAGCTCAGAAGGCGGCAAAGAAAGAGGACGCCCACGAGGACTCCATTTTCGGGCCCACCAAACCGCAGACGCTGGCCGATATTGCGGTGCCGAAGGAGCCGACGCAAGAGCCGCAAATGGTCTTTCATCAGGATGTGAGTCAAGAGAAGCTTTAGCGTTTTATTCCTAAACGTAAATCTTTACAAATTTTGATTGAAAAATATAGATTTTCGTCCAAAGACTGATTTTTTACCAAAATGTCGACTTTTAAAAAATTTTTTTCGCTGTGTTTTTGCTGCTCTTTTTCGCATTGTAAGAATTTACTTTCGTTACAGCTATCCGCCGACCCGAAGATGCGCGAGGCCCGCTGGCTGGAGCTGTGGAAGGAGCGCCGGATGCGACACGGCGTCTGTTGAAACTCGAAAAGCTGAGCTACTCGTAAATTCTGTATTTATCGTTGTTCTTTATTTCTTGTCCTCCTCAATGCTGTAATGTATTTGGTGCGATATGTTTTCGACAAAGATCTCTCATCACGATTTATTTGCCGGTTTCGATGGGTTAACGGTCTAATAAAGGCACAGAATAGTAGGCAGTAGCACGGGGAAGGGGGGGGTACGGTAGATGAGGTAGTGGAGGAAAAGTGAGATGATCAGAGGAGTGTTGTGTTTTTGTCAGCATCGAGTAGGTCATCACTTTTGGACGGCCGGGCAGATCGGTGGTCCGCGTCACTTGGTCGTCTCATTCGGGTGGCTGGCGCCTGGAATGGGGGCGCTTTTTAGGAATATGGATTGGGCAAGCTAGCAGAGATTGCTAGCTACTTTGATCTGATTAGGAAGTTTGGGGAGGTATAACTATTACTATTTCATTAAGTTAGTAACGGAAATTCTCTGAAACCTTTTTTACTATTTCTATGTTGCTTTTTATTATTTTATTTGCTCCAAATGGTAAAAACAAATTAAAAACCTTAGAAATTTATGTCCTGTATTGGCAGGCTAGCAGAAATTGTTGGGGAAACTTCTGTTGCATTTTCTAAGCCCTAAATTTGACGTTTTGCTTCCTCCTGTTCCTAATTCTTGGGGCTAAAAATTGGATCAAAAGCCTTGAGAAAAGTTTTTAAGGTTTGCGACGCATTTTATTAGCGAATTTAGGTGAATGCTACTAGATTTCAACTAGGAAAGCTATCTAAAAACGTTTTGCGAACGACGAAATTTTGGCCGAAAATGTCTAAAAAAATTATGTTTTTGCTTTTTAACGACATTTTATACTATTGTTGTGTTTAGTGTTAGTAAAAAATTGCAGGAAAACCTTCTATTTTTATTATACCCACTGAATTTAGCAGCCAGGCGCGGGCGCCGCGAGCGGGTCGGCTGCATCACTAAAAAAAAAGTGAATCTAGGCTCTAGAATTTTTAAAGTACCACTGCAGGTGGAGACGGCGTGGGTGGCGCCACTTTTCGACTGACCACTTTTCACCTCTTCCGGTCTAAAAAGACGTAGGAAGGAGGATTTAACAATCTAAAACCCCTAAAATTAATTATTAAAGAAACCAGGATTACATAGAAAACCCGGAAACATACCGGGCCTTGGCGAAGAACTTCTCGAACTCGCGCAGCGTGTGGAGGGCGTACGAGTCGATCTAAAGATTGTATTAAAAACGAGCTCGTTTAAAAAACCTGAAAAATTTTCAAACACTAACCCTGGTGACGGCCGGGTCGACGACGTGGCAGAAGGCCGTCTCGGCGCCGCCCGTTTTGGCCATGTAGAGGAAGAAGAGGAAGAACGCCTAGGAGGATGGGGCTTAATTAACTTGCGGTTAAGCTTATTGAAAACTATATAAATAAAGATAAAGCTTAATTACGATCAAGCACCTGAAGCTATAAATTTGGTATTTCGAAAACATGTTTCAGTAGAAATTAAAGTTTCACGAAAAAAAGGTCAGCCGTAGTCAGCAATTACCAGTGTTTTTATTATCAAACATTCAAAAAGTAATATCTGGGCTTTTCGCATTGCTTGCATAAAAAGTATCTGCCCATTAAAAACCACAGAGTACGTTTTGCAAAAAAAATATGCTGCATCAAAGCGCTAGGCATAGAAATAAGGCAGCTAGAAACCCAGGGGTAGACTCAATTTCTCAAAAATTTAATAAATTGCCAACTCATTTTAACAGGCTATAAAAAAGCGTTTTCCCCACTTAAATCACAAAAGATAAATAAACCACAAAGTGGTCGTTTCATTGTGAAAATAGCAAAGATAAAAAGTAACATATGCCTAAAAACCCCAATAACACGTTTTAGCAAAAATATGCTTCAACGAAAATGCTTGGCAAAAAATTTAGTTGCTACAAAAAAAAAGTTAAAATTTAGTTCTACAAAATTCTAAAAAAATCTAATTAATTATCAACTACTTATTTTAGTCCACTATAAATCGCGTTTTCACCCACTTAAATAACAAATACAGAATTTCAAAGCATAAAACGACTTAAGGCAGGAAATGTACCTTGAAAATGTAGTAGATGGGGAAGGCGTGGATGAGGGGCCAGAACAGGCCCTCCAGCACCGCGTGGGCTCCTGGAAAGATAGGTAAAACAAAAGCGAGCCGTTTAAAGGAACGAGCAAGGCTCAATCCCTGCAAAATCCATAGCTGCCTTGCGAGTCCCTTTAAAACATTCCGCACTACAACACCCACCGAACACTGTCCAGTACCGTAGCCAGAACGTGTCCTCGCCCTTGCCGGGGGAGCGGATCGCCTGGAAAAAGCGCGTAATCTTTGCCTCAAGAATCTCTGCTAGTACGTCTGGATTCCGAAGCACTGCGTAAGTTTAAATAGTACCTTGACGGAACGGTAGGCTGGGTACAGTACCCCGACGACCATGCAGATCAATGGGGCCATCAGGCTGACGAATCGGAGCACAAGGAAACAGCCGACGCCCACCGTCCACTGGAATGGAATGGAATGTGAGAGAAACAGGGCGAGAGACAGCGAGAGAGAGAGAGAGAAACAGAGAGAGAGACAGAGACAGAGACAGAGACAGAGACAGAGACAGCGAGAGAGAGAGAGAGAGAGAGAGAGAGCGAGAGAGGGAGAGAGATACTGAGATCCGGCTCACCACATTGACATAATCGAGCGGTTGCTTCCTCTTGACGTGGGCCACGACCACGGGTCCACTCTTCGCCGTCTCGACGCTGGGCGCTGGCTGGCTCGTCGACTGGAAGGTTACGGTAGTCGGTTTTGGTATATGTCGGCTACGCGGTGGGGGAAAATTTTACGCGGGGGGGACGGACTGTTGGGGCCGACCTAACTATTTTTTTGCGTTTATTTTTGCTACAAACAAAACCCTTAGTATATTTTTTGACGCTCTGTCGAATGGCACTAAAGAAATTTTGTAAAAATGTCGAAAATGTCGAAAATTTGATTTCCTTCTATATCCTCCATGAAAACAACGTTTTATAGTTGTTTTTGTTATAACTATATTATATTACATTATTTTGATCTAAAATTAAAACTCTTCGTATATTTTTGGATGCTCTATCAAATGGCATCGTTAAAATGTCGAAAAAATAGCGCGAATGTCGAAAAACAGCCGCTCAAACCGATTTTCAAAGCTTATTTTTGTATTTGCCATAACTTTTTTATATTACACTAATTTTAGCTAAAACAAAAACTCTTAGTATATTTTTTGATGCTCTATCGAATGACGTTGCGAAAATTCCGAGAAAATAACGAAAACATCCAAAAAGGTCTGCCTGTCCCGTCCCCCCCCGCGTAAAATTCCCCCGCGTAGCCGACATATACCGTCGGTTTTATTGCAATAAAACACTGAGATAACAGCTTAAATACCTCACCAGGAAAAATCCAATTCGAGGGGTATTTCCGCAAAAATATGTTTCATCCAATAGCCAAGAAAAAAGTTCCAAAACGCAACCTAATATGGATAAAGCGATGATATTATCGAGCGCCTAAAGCTCCAAATAAAAATCCAGTTTCAAAAAAATGTTTCGTCGAGTTGCAAAGCTTAAATTTTTCCGTGAGGTCTAATTGGATCCTCGTGGTTACTGGAAAAGTGTCCACAATACCAAAGTGGCGGCGAGCGCGTGCAGCACGGCCGTCGGCACCTCGACATGTTGCACTTCCTCGCCCTCTTCAGTCTGCAAATGGGCTTTATAATTTTTTTATTTTTAAAATAGTTGTTCAAAATAAACGGAATACGCTACTCAGGAATTAACATAATCGATACATTTTTGAAAAAGGACCTGTATCACAGTGGGCTGCTCGTAGGTGACCTCGCCGGACATCAGCGGCCGGTCGCGAGGGTTTGTAGGAAAAGGAGTACGGCATTTTCCTCCCCAAACGCTTCTTTTTTTACGGCCGATCTATGCAAAAGTATGGATGCTAATTTTTCGCGTGAAAATTATCTCGGCTAATTTAAATTCTTTCAACCCAAATCTTCGGTTCTTCAAAATACTCGTGGTTTTCATTGAATGGTTTTCATACGAATTTTTGCCCTTAAAAAGCGCTGGTCGTCTAATTCATGATTTCACAAATTATGTAATTCTCGATGCTTGAAAATGCCTGGCAAAATTCATTTTTTAAAAACAAATTTTCTTCCTAAAAATAGCTAGCCTAAAAGTTCGTGATGTTTCAAATAGATTTTTTACCCAAGCAACAGCTCGCGGGCTAATTCTCACCCAGTGATTTTTTTAACTTCCACTTAAAAAATGCTGGCCGGCTAATCCGCGATTTTGAAAAAAAGACCAGGGTTGAAAAGCCGCTTCGCGACTTTTCAACCCTGGCCCCGTCTGCCCCCCTCTTTATCCTTCACTTTGCATAATTGTCCTAAATTGGCATGACAAAAAAAATGAAAAACCCCCTCGTCGGCCCCTTTATATAGGCGACTCCCCACTTCCGGTCTATGCTAAGTATCCCTAACAAAGAAGTTTTCACAAAAACTTAAATTTAATGTCGAAAACAGCTGATTTTGTAAAATCTGATATGTGTGCAGTCATCTCAAGACCGTTGCGCACCTAATGACGTATCACACATACCTTAAAATTCATCCCCCATCGAGATATCCTCCGGACAGACAGACGGAAGTGGATGCAAAGTGGCACACACACACACACAGACACTATTTTTTTATATATAGTAGGATGGCTGGTTTTTTCGTGTTTTTGAGTAGTTATGGAATTAGCTCGCTAAGGAATTTGAAACATTTATTTGAATAATCGCGAATTGGGTTTTAAAGCCTCAGGAATTTTTAAAAAAATCCGTCCCTCCGTCCGTCAAATCCCCCAAATACTCAAATACTCCGTCAAATATTCTCCAGGATCGAAAATCCTACTATATATAAAAAAATAGTGTTTGTGTGTGTGTGTGTGCCACTTTGCATCCACTTCCGTCTGTCTGTCCGGAGGATATCTCAAGAAGGGACGGGTATTAGGCTACGTTCGATACGTCAATAGGTGCGTAATGGTCTATGGATGACTGCACACATATCAGATTTTTAAAAATTAGCCATTTTCGCTATTAAATTTAGGTTTTTGTAAAAACCTCTTTGTTAGGAAGAATTAGCATAGACCGGAAGTGGGCGGTCGTCTATATAAAGAGGCAGGCGGGGCTGTTTTTCATTTTTTTCCTTTTGAATGAAGGACAATTATGCAAACGGCGGAATAGCATGGGGTCCAAGGCGGGTCCAGGGTTGAAAAGTCGCGAAGCGGCTTTTCAACCCTGGTTGGATACATAAAAATTTTCTGGTTTTTAAAAATTTATAGAACACACTTTTTTACAAACACCGCCACGAAATAACAACACATCTCGTGGGGGAGCACCCGCATTTGCATAAAGCGTACGAGGGAAACCGAAACGCAGGGGCGGAAAACATCAATAAAGCAATAGAAAAATACAATAAATATTATTACAGTAGGCAACAAAAATAAAATTATATTATCCTTAGAGAAGAAATAAGATTATATTAAAACCGAAAAAGCTCACAATAAAAGGCATAATATCAACAATAAAGGGAATTGTACACCGGTTAAATAGGGCATATATCAAAACAGAAACATTTCTCGTAGACTAGGAGATACGGCAAGGAATGAGCATTGGTGTTTTTCTTAGGTTTCATTGGGAATTTTGATTGATATAATGTTACTTTTTACTGCTTTTTAGTTTTGCATTTCTAATTAAATTTTTGGTTGAAATTCTAATATATTTCTACGGGATTACCGTAGATCGAATTAACGTTCTGAATATTTACTACCGAAAAAATGTTTCGAAAAATTATGAAGGTAGTTTTGCGAATCCCGGATAATTCCCTTCAGAGTTTATAGATGATTCTTTTATTAAACTAAACTAAACTTTAGTTTTATTAACTAAAGTTTAGTAGCAAAAATTAAATTAAATCGTATCATTTTCTTCATTTCTATTAAATTATTTACGCTACTTTAAGTGAGTTAACGCCTACCTTAGTACTTAATTAACTGAAAAATCGCTGTTATTGCGGCAAAAATCGAGCCGAATAAGATTCCGATTTGCTACTTTTTAATGTCTAAATCTTTCCAGATGTAAAGATGATAAAAAAGATTTACGGTGAATTAATATTAATTTAATTTCGAGAACTCTGGATATTTTTGACGAAATAATGTTTCAGGAAATCTGATTCTTCGCGAAAATGTTTTCTATCAATTAACCCTCCGGTCGTAATGACATTATAAAAATTCCCATTAAAAAATTTGATTCTGGCATTCTTATTAATTCTTATATTAAAAATGATCTTCAATATTTGCATCAATAAAATTCCCAATAAAAAATCCGCACCATTATCTATACGGGCCAAACGGTATCGATTTGCATATGACCGAGATTCGATTGTGATTTTCTGCAGCTGGTTGTTTTACGTCCTCAACGGCTACCGTATCCTCGTATGGGGGAGGGTCGTCGAGAGGAGTGTCGCGTAGCTGTTCTCGCTCCATTTGGCAGCATTCCAGCTCGACTTCCCGCCGGGACCCGTCGTTTTTTGGTTGGGCATTTTGTTGAAATGAGGATGGAAGCGCCTGGAAATTGGAGAAATTTTTAAGTCAATAATTTAATGTGTTTCGTCCAAAATTCATAAGAGGTGAAAAAATGCATATCATATTATCTCTTGTTTGCCTTTTGTTTCCAGAGCGTTTTTTGAAAACGACGCGACACCAACTAATTTATTAAAATTCATTTTTATGAATTAATTAAATTGATATTAATTAATAATTTGAATTAGTTAATGATAAATCATAACTTAGTTAATTATTTAAGTCCCCTAAATAAACTAAAAATTCGATAGCTTTAATTTCCCTTCTTTTCTTCGCCTTGTTACGATCGATCGAGTTTTTTTTAAAAAGACGGGCTAAAATTAATTTAATTGAAATTAGCTTTTAAAGGTAAAAATATAAAAATGCAGCAAACAAATAAAACCATAAATTATATTTTCGAATCCCGGAATTCATATCGATTAAAAGCCTAATAGCTAGATTTACCTATTATTTTTATGAAACTATCAATTTTGTCAAATTCTTTTATTCGGTGATTATCTTAAGTTTTATCCAATTTTTATCATTTCTAAGTCAGTTTTGCTTTTATACATTAACAACTTGGCAAAAAATGCCCCGTAAGTTCTATTAAACGTTTCCTACCTGATATATCCTTTTCCGTGCCGTATTCACGAGATTCTCCTGGGCATAGCCGATTTTGCCGGCTTTTTGTAGACGGATGAGGAGGATGATGGAGAGCACGAGGAGGGAACCACCTGAAAAAGCGCGCTTATCGTAATTTGATAATAGCGGCCTTCCTCCTCCTTAAATCGTTTGAACACTAGCTTATTTTTACTATTTGATGAAACATCAAAATTTCAGGCCTGCTTTCTCATATTTATTGATTCTCCTTCATCAAATGGTAAATTGTTAGTCGATATTAAATGCTTAAATTTCAGCTTGAATTTTAAATTTAAGATTAAATTATTAAATTACTTCTATGAATAATTTATAACGACCTATAAGGATGAGGAACAAGTTTTTATGATGAAAATATGAACAGAATAGCGCACAGGGCAATACTGATGGGAACTCGACGACAATTTTATTTTAGCCGGACACAAAACACATTTTTATCGGCTAAGATTTTGCATTTTTATTCTTGTTTCGGGCCGTAATTTTTCTGTTGCGTTTTTGAAGTTAAATTTTAGGTCCTACGCTTAATAAAACACGCGCGCACAAGGACATGTGGCGAAAAGAAGAATTTTTTGAAAAATCTTTTAAAAATTAATGTTTCAACTAGTAAACAGACGCGCGCTAAATAGTTTTAATTAGTTCATGAAACTTCATAATCTGAACATACCAAAAATTCCAATTAAAATCATTGCCGCGTCGGTCGTACGCCCGTCCGTACAAGTGGGGCCGGCAGTGTCGTATGGCTGAAAATTTCGATGTTTTAACAATGCTTCAAAATGGAGCAAGTCGAAAATGGCTATTGCCTGAGTTGCTTTGCCTTTATTGATTTTTTTTGGTAAGTACTATTAAAGCTTGATTAAAATATTTAAATCTTTATTAACCCACCAATTCACAGAAGCGGCCGAAAAACCCGAATTGACAGGAGCACTTTGCGGAATGGCGAAACGGCACGCAAATCGCCCCATTTTGGCATGGGGACACCTGGAAAAAGCTTAATACACTCTTAAGCACTAATAAAAAAGCAACCAATATATAACTTATTAATTGTTGGACTTTAAAGTCTAAAAAAAACATTTTTTAATTAATCTATTCACGCAACAAGTCTTGTATAACACTAGGAAAAATGTCAGTAAACTTAGTTGTTTTATGTTTACCGTTTTTCAGAATTCAAAATCTTTTTCAACCCTTCTCATGACACCCTATACCATAAAACCAACGAAAACCGTAGAAATTCTTTAGATTTGCTTCTGTGTTTTTGTATGTTTCAAAGGTTTATAGAGAAATTTTTTTGCCTTTTCATTATAATTTTTATCCACCGATCCCAGAAGCCTTACCACCGGCGGAAATTGGGTGCGAGAACAAAATTTCTCTCTATCCTTCTCTCTCTCTCTCTCTCTCTCTCTCTCTCTCTCTCTCTCTCTCGCTCTCTATCTAACCCTCTCTCTCTATCTCTCTCTCTCTCTCGCTCTCTCTCTATCTCTCTCTTCACCTAAAGACCTTGAAAAACCTACCAGGCACGGATTCGAGCTGACAAAAGATCGAGGCGAATCCGGAATTTGACAGTGACTTCCGGAAAACCCGTCCGGACATACGCAAGTGTACTGGCCGGCTCCTCGCGGAATGCATTGACCGCCTGAAAATATAAATTATCTTGTGTATCCCGAACAAATCCTTATTATGCAACATTTCTCACAGCTTTGGGCTTGTTTTTTTGAAACACTAAATTTCGCAGAATTTTTTTTGACGCAAAGAATCACCGGAAGCTCGAGATAGTTTAAAAGTTTGTAGCCTAACTTAGAATTTCTCAATTCTTTAATCTATCAGCTGCCAAACTTCTCTTTTTTAGAAATTTTCGAAACATTATTTTTTAAGAAATCTTGTTTTCTAAATTTCCCCGTTTCCGCATGACCGGATGCAAATTTTACAACTACCCGAAAACAATGGTCATAGTGATTTCCTTTACGATCCGACTGTCATTTACAATTTCTAAAGGATGGTAGTCCGGTGCCACGGTCCTAAAACATGCCCCCCGGGGGCAAATTAGGGGCAGCAGGCCAGAGACAATGGATCCAGTCGCCGGATGACTGTAAATCGGAGCGTTTCGATCAGAAATATGCTGTTAAAAATTATATGTTACCTTATTTTTTAAATTCCAGCCCCAAAATAATTAAAGAATTAATAATATAGAAATAAATATAATATAATATAAATAATATAATAGAAAAATAGAGAAATAGTTTCATGATATTAAATTGATGAGATAAAATATGGGTTTCATGGAAAATATTCAGAACGCGTAGAAATCCTGCTTTTATTGCTTCCTCATCAACACATACATTTTATATTTGTTCGGAATTGTTTGCGTCTTTGAATTAATTAAGTATGTTTCGTTCGAAACGATCGCCTAAAAAAGTCTATATTTCGGTAATAAGCGGAGGCTTTCGGAGGCTTTCTTCTTTTTGAATACCGCCCCCGGGGGGTGAAAATGGCCATAAAAAGGCATAAAAACTTAATGCCACCTTGCGCCTCTAGAGGCACACCACACCTGGGCAAACAAAAAAAAAGGGGTGTCACAAGTAGCCGCGCGGAATTACAGCCCCCCCACCAGACCGGCAGCCACCTGTTTTTGATCTGGCCGACTTTTTCGATTTTGGAATAGGGAAATCGAGGCAGTAACGAATTTTTAAGACTTTTTAGATGTTTAGACCATGAAACATTTTTTTTGCACTATTCGGATAGAAACAAACTTTTTTTTCTTAAGATCCAATATCTATATTAATAAATGGGGGAAGTGCTACTAAATTTTTTTTGCTATTCCTAAGCGTGTAAACTTTAGAAATGTTGTATTAAAAATACGATAAACAAATATCGAGTTTTTTCGAAAAAATTCGCGGATTTTCAGAAATTTTTTAGTGTTCTTTGATAGTTTTTTCACTTAAATGTTGCTAAATGTTGCTAAAAACCTTATTAAAATACTTCTAATTACATTACTAGACATTTCTGGATTTTAGCAAAACATTAAGTCCCCCGATGCCCCCCGCCCCCCCCCGATGATGCAAAAGCATCTCCTTTTAATTTTATTTTTTTATCCATCAAAAAATACCACCAAAACAAGTTAGTTAATTATGTAAAAAATACTGCTCTAAAAAGACTTACCATTCGAACAGATCCCTTCTTGGTGGCAAGGGTCGGCGCCGCTCGGGATCTCGCATCTGAACGTGTTTGAAAATTCAATGTTTCGTGAAAAATCAAACAAATTGCAGACCCTGTGTGTCTAATTTCCTTTTCATCACAATCCAAACGAAAAATCTTTATTTTTTGGAAATTGGTAGATCTTTGAATTTAGAAATCGATGTTTCATGATTTTCAGAAGTCAGGAATTGTCGGAGCCATATTAGTCCGACTTTCCTTCTTCCTCTTTAACTAGTTATTATTTCTTCTATTCAATTAATTAAACTACCTATTTTAATTTATCATCCAACTTTGTCTAATTTAAAAAATTTTTCCAAAAAATAAGTTTCGAAAATTTTAAATCCGGGAGACAATGACCATCATTCAATTTTCCATGTATCCGGCCTAGAAAGACAATATGTTTCATTAATGGTGCTTGGGCGTCATGTATCTGATTATTCCCGTAAAAAATTTCCCCTTTTAAATTTAACTGAAACAAACCTGTCGCCAGAAAATCCCTGCGGACATTGGCAGGTGAACTGCTCGGGGCCGCCGTTCATGCAGAGACCCCCGTTTGCACAGGGCGACGCTCGGCTACAGTGGTCCAGGTCTAAATAATACGATAAAATAGGATTTATTACGACCTAATCGTATCAAAAAAAGCTGTATCAAACTTGGCGTTTTTCCACTAAAAAAGTTTTATGAAAAAGTGATCTAAATAGCATATCCAGGTTATTATTGCAGTACTCTTTTTCCGATGTAGGAACAGGTAATTTAAAAATAATATATAAATGATAGATTAAACTAAAATCAAAAACTATAGATTGTCATGAATAAGAATTAAATTCAGGACAAAATATATAAAACGAAACTCGATATTAAGAAAAAAAATACGCATAAAGTTAAATTTATCAAGGAAGAATTTAATTAAGAAAGCTGTATGTTAAGGAAATTAAAGAATGAAAAATCTAAATAAGTGGATGGAATTCATTTTCTAAGCTTTGCTTCTGATCAAAACAAAAATTATGTTTCGTCTATCCGCATAGGAGCGAAATTTTATTTTTGAATACTAAATTCGGGTCTTCTTCAGAACGCTAAATAATTAATAAAATCATAGGATAATAAAATAAGATAAATAAGATAAAATAGTAAAGTAGGTAATAAACAGCTCAAAGAAATCTTACCATAATCGCAGAGCAGCCCTTTCCATCCCTTCTCGCAGTGGCATGTGTTGGGCTCGCCATTTCGGCAGGCTCCGTGCTGACAGCCCGGCAGGGGTATGCACTATAAAAAGGCGTAGTTTGTAGTTTTCTAGAAAATACTAAAAGCGAAGCCTCCACTTATGAGGAATTCAAAAGTTAGAAGCAAGTGTTTCAAAGCGACAACAGGAAGCGCGAAAATAAGTTTCCGTACTATCTTGCTTGCTTCCTTGTTTTAGTTTTCTGCATTGATTTTCATAAATACACCCTTTATCATTAAATTGTTTTTCCACTGTTTAAAAAAGTGCGACCACGCCACAGTCGGTACTGGACTGTTAGCGGGGGGACTAATTTTTGTTTTATTGCCGCCGATAATTACATACTTGTTGATAATACATAACCTAGTTTTGTGGCGTTTTTTGTACCATTTTGATTGCCAGGAAAGTATAAATTTTGTTTTAATATAAAACGGTTTAAAATATTTAAAACTCGAAAATTAAAAGAGAATTTTACTTAAGAAATACCTCTTCGCAGCGAGCCCCCCGAAAGCCAGAAGCGCAGCTGCAAACTTCCGGTGCTGTACAGGTCCCGTTTTGGCAGGGCGTCGAGCAGATGGCTAGAATTATGTAGTATGAAAATGTTTTAAGGTCTATAATGTGTGATTTTAATTCTAATTTTCTAATTCTATTTAATTTTAATTTATATAATTAATTTTTTTACTTTCTTTACCAGGTAAAATTGTTCCCTTGCCAAAGAAATTTAAATTGAAAATCGTCAACATTTTTAAAAGTTCTGTTGTTCTGTTCATTTTCAAACGCAAATAAAAGCAAGATTTGGAAATCGAAAAGCGAAAATCAGCATGAAAATGCTTGATAAAGGCTACGATGGGAAGGAGCGTCCATTAGCGCCAAACATTTCAATGAAGTCAGTCATTTTTACCAAACACACCTTTTCCACAGTCCAAACCAGTCCATCCGTTTTTGCACTTTTTCGCGCCATTCTCGTCGCAGCCGTAGCGTTCCGTTTCCGCGCACGCCAAATTGCATCGGGGACCGTACCGGCCACTAAAATTGGAATACAAAGATTATTTTAATTCGTCTATCTCTCTGCTAGATCTTTTCGGAGCTTTAAATTTAGCGAATTTCCAAAGGTTCTCTGCTAGCCTGCCCTCTCTCTTCCTCAACAATCTCTGCTAGCCTGTCGTCTCCTCTTCCTCAACAATCTCTGCTAGCCTGCCCTCTCCTCTTCCTCAACAATCTCTGCTAGCCTGCCCTCTTCCCTTCCTCAACAATCTCTGCTAGCCTGCCCTCTCCTCTTCCTCAACAATCTCTGCTAGCCTGCCCTCTCCTCTTCCTCAACAATCTCTGTTAGCCTGCCCTCTCCTCTTCCTCAACAATCTCTGCTAGCCTGCCCTCTCCTCTTCCTCAACAATCTCTGCTAGCCTGCCCTCTTCCCTTCCTCAACAATCTCTGCTAGCCTGCCCTCTCCTCTTCCTCAACAATCTCTGCTAGCCTGCCCTCTCCTCTTCCTCAACAATCTCTGCTAGCCTGCCCTCTCCCCTTCCTCAACAATCTCTGCTAGCCTGCCCTCTCCTCTTCCTCAACAATCTCTGCTAGCCTGCCCTCTCCTCTTCCTCAACAATCTCTGCTAGCCTGCCCTCTCCTCTTCCTCAACAATCTCTGCTAGCCTGCCCTGAAAACATTTATTTCATTTATTTTTATAATTTTTTAATTTATTTTACATGCCTAGCACATTTTAACCGGAGCTCCCCCGAGAGTACGGTAGTATCTGAAGAAAAATTGGCGGCGCGCCAACCATCTCCATTGGACAGTGGACCCGCGTAGCTCAGCGTCGCGTTTCCTGAAAAACTGATACTGGAAAACCCTGATATCATTTAAAGTTAAAATATTTAAAAATTAAATTAATTTCAAATATAATTTCTAAACCTCGTTAAAACCCAAAATATTATTAAAAATTCGATTTTTCATAAAGGTAGTGTTGCTTATAATTATTTCCTGCCCGCACGCGCTTCTAATGTAAAAAAGCGCAACATCTTTTTGCGCACAGTGCGACGAAGCTTCACGAACTATTGTAATCCTTTTTTATAATATTCAGAAAGGCAAAAAGTTTAAACATTTTGCTTATAAAATAGAAAACTATCGATTTTTCGACCAAAAGTTCCATTTCTGTTAATTGAAATCATCAAATTTAAATATGCTAAATTGTTTGGCTGCTTATGCTTGGGCAGTACTAGAATTTCACGAAGGAGGCGATTAAAATACGTGGTATTAAGCTATTGGACAATTCATTGTTTCCACGATTTTCAATGGTATAAAAAATTATCTTTCAGGGCAGCTACCTACGAAAGAGGTGGATTAATGTATAATCGGCCTTCTCAATGGAGTAATAAAATTTATGCCTTGGGATCGGCGTTTATTGCCAAATTATTCGCTGATAAAGTTTTGAATAAGTTTAAAGGGCTGCCGACGGCATGTGTCGATCCCCCCCCCCATCAACAAATTGGCAAGTAGCCAACAGGGCAGAGAGCGCGCCCTGGGGAGAGGCGCAGAGACATTTTCTTTCCAGCGCGTAACCGATTGACTATGCCGTCGGCATCCCTTTAAAGATAGAACATCTCATTTTCCGGAACTAGCCAACATTTCAATTTTATGGCGCCTAATTTCAACAATTCCGCACGGTGCAACACCTATTTTTGGCGCAGATGATTCAGCGCGAACACGTGTTCCATTCATCTTCAGGTGAATTTTCCCAAAAAGTATGTTGCGTAATAAAGATCGGCTACGGAGAGGTTGACGCCTATTAATGGTGAATAGTGGATTGTAGAGAGCCGAGTTTTTCTAGAAGAAAATCTCCCGGAAAATCCCCAGAACCCCGTCGCAAAAAGATTAGATGTATTCATATTTAGAAATTGAGTTTCGGCATTCTGGTAGTAGCAGTAACAAAGATGCCGATTACTCAGGCTTTTGCGAAAAAAGTGTTTCTTATCAAACCCTAGTTTATCATGGCATTTTAAACCCTAGTCGCATGTCGATAACCCCTTCCGGTAGATTTTGTCCAAAATATCGACTTTCTGGGCTTTTGCATAATTCGATTTTTTCGCTTTTTAACCAAGCCCGGAAAATATAGGTTTTTTTTGTTTTTGTGTGGTTTCTGCCATTTGCAAAACGATGTTTTAATTATGGGTGACTCCTAAATTCCACATCCCCAGTAGCCGTGCAACATCTTATCGCCAATTTTTTGTTGGCAAATAAATCAGCCCGAACAGGTCGACGCGTGTCACCCGGGGTCACGCAAATAATGTATGCCATCGTAAAGTAGCTAGAAAGGCGGCTTTTTGAAGCCTGCAGGCTATGATGTATCCAAAGTATTATTAAGTCAAAAATTAGAAGAAAAAAAATCAGATAGGTCTTTGTTTCAGGGCGGACTAGCAGGGATTGTTGAGGAAGAGGAGAGGGCAGGCTAGCAGAGATTGTTGAGGAAGAGGAGAGGGCAGGCTAGCAGAGATTGTTGAGGAAGAGGAGAGGGCAGGCTAGCAGAGATTGTTGAGGAAGAGGAGAGGGCAGGCTAGCAGAGATTGTTGAGGAAGAGGAGAGGGCAGGCTAGCAGAGATTGTTGAGGAACAGGAGAGGGCAGGCTAGCAGAGATTGTTGAGGAAGAGGAGAGGGCAGGCTAGCAGAGATTGTTGAGGAAGAGGAGAGGGCAGGCTAGCAGAGATTGTTGAGGAAGAGGAGAGGGCAGGCTAGCAGAGATTGTTGAGGAACAGGAGAGGGCAGGCTAGCAGAGATTGTTGAGGAAGAGGAGAGGGCAGGCTAGCAGAGATTGTTGAGGAAGAGGAGAGGGCAGGCTAGCAGAGATTGTTGAGGAAGAGGAGAGGGCAGGCTAGCAGAGATTGTTGAGGAAGAGGAGAGGGCAGGCTAGCAGAGATTGTTGAGGAAGGGGAGAGGGCAGGCTAGCAGAGATTGTTGAGGAAGAGGAGCGAGAGACGAATGGCGCGAAAAAGCGTAAAGCCGGGTGGACTGGTTTGTATTTTGGGAAGCTGTGTTTCGTAATAATTGATGGCTACGCTGAAATGTTCGGCGCTAATGGCCTATCTTGCACGCCGTCCCCTAAATCGTTTTTATGCTGATTTTTCATTCCGATATTCAAACTTGGAATCCCGTGTGGACGTAGAAATGCGTGAATTGACCAATTGTGGTATTGACAAAACCTCGAATCGTTCGATTTTCCGAACCACATTTTTAAGAAATTAAATGGCGGAAACGCGCAAAATACAAAACGATTCAACAATATCTTTTGTTAAATAAAGTTTTATATAAACACACATTTTTCTATTGGATATTTATTACTGTGTATGCTACCTTACGATAAAGGGATTAAATGTTTCATTTTACGCTAGCCACAGATTTCCCCAGATGCCCGGGGCTATGTTGCTACTAGATTGAGATGCTATCACATTTTCGGGGGTGTCAATCGGGTTGCATGGCCGTCTCTCTCTCACTCCCTCTCTCTCCCTCTCTCACTCTCTCCCTCTCTCTCTCTCGCTCTCTCTCTCTCTCTCTCTCTCTCTCTCGCTCTCTCTCGCCCCGTAAATAGGCAGATGTGCTGTCCATTGGCACGCAATCCACCCACAACACAACCAAAAGGACACCTGCTCCCCGCGCGCCCCGAAATTTGGCGTCTTTTAGCGCGCCCACCGGCTGGCCCGTGCCGCAGAAAAAAAGTATGTAGCGCAAAAACGGGTTTCCCGGCGGGGAAAAGAAGCTGGAATGAACTGCGAGCTGTGGAGTCAGTTTAGTTGGATATGAAAAGCAGACTAAACCAATTTTTAGCTTCTATCTCTTTATAATGATTTGTTATTATTTACTTACTACTCATTAATTATGAATTCTTGTTAATTATCTCGTGAAGAAGTCATGGGGCGTTTAAGAGAATTTTGAAGCCGCTAGATTACATCAGAAGCGATAGAAAGGTTAAGAAATGTCATGAAGGCAGGTCAATCGAACGACAGTTTCGGTTTTTGCCAGCAAATTTATGTGTTTCAGAAATCCTTAGAAATAAGGGATTTCTCGTAATTGTAATAATTCACGGAAAATAATTATGAGCCAAGCTGGTTAAAAACCTCGAAAAGCAACGGAAAATAAACGACTTTCGCGGATAAAAATGTTTTAGTGAAAAATAATTATCAACACCGAATAACAGTGCCAATACGAGATCGGATGGTGAGAGACTTTTTTTTTGACATTCCGTAATTCTAATGAAATGTTTCAAGAATCGAACTTCTTTAGGGTTGGCTAACAAGGAGACGTTTTTAGGTGGGCACGGAGTTTCGTAACGAGACCTAGCTCATTCGAAAGCGCTTAAAAAACTGAGCAAGATCCCGTTTTCCATTTCTGCGAAACGATAGCGATTGATTTTAAATAAATAAATTAAAGAATTAGCAGAAATTGGCATGGTTCCCCTCGCGCGGAGCGATTTCCTTCCAAGGGCCCCCTCTCGCGGAAAGCCAGGCCCCGTCTTCCCTTCCGCATAGCGATTTGGCGCAGTCGGTAGGGCGTTTGTCTCCCACGAAATTTTTTTGGACTTTTTGTCGGTTCGACCCCTAGGCCCAGAATTCGTTTTGCTTTTTAATTCCTGAACGCTTTTGAAATGTGGAATCTACTACAAAATTAATTTTTTTTGAGGTATGCCCCAAAACGGTAGCGTTTCACTCGCGTCTCAGGGATTAAAATCAACTAGCCCGCTTGTGCCTCCACCGATGCTGTTCAGAACGTTTTTTTAACGCATTGAAATAATTAAAACAAAAATTCAGCCCCCTAAGATAAAAAGCAAAACGAATTCTGGGCCTAGGGGTCGAACCGACAAAAAGTCCAAAACAATTTCGTGGGAGACAAACGCCCTACCGACTGCGCCAAATCGCTATGCGGAAGGGAAGACGGGGCCTGGCTTTCCGCGAGAGGGGGCCCTTGGAAGGAAATCGCTCCGCGCGAGGGGAACCATGCCAATTTCTACTAATTCTTTAATTTATTTATTAAAAATCAATCGCTATCGTTTCGCAGAAATGGAAAACGGCATCTTGCTTAGTTTTTTAAGCGCTTTCGAATGAGCTAGGTCTCGTTACGAAACTCCGTGCCCACCTAAAAACGTCTCCTTGTAAGCGTAATACTACAATTTCATGGAAAAGCAAAATTGTAAAGTTAAATCCTAATTGAAACTTATTCTTTAACGCCCACCTGCGCTGCTCGAAGACGTGGTGAGGACGAGGGCAAACCGGTCCTGAAAATAATTTGATCCTACCTTATATAATTTTGGGGTGTATCTCTGTGTGTGTGTGTGTCCGGCGCCAGGGAGGGCTACTTTGCATAATTCCAAAAAAATACAAATTTTCTCATTCTTGCAAGTTGCACTCGCGGGTGTGGTCGGAGGAAGGGAGGGGGGTCCGAAGGACCCAAGCTATCGGAAAGTCAAATTTATCATGCAAAGTCCGCATTCCAGCGCCCAAGGCCCGCGAAGCGGGTTTTGGGCGCTGGTTTGATATAATTTAATAAGCCTTTACATATTTTTGCATGTTTTAAAACATACAGAATTTAATTTTTTCAATTCAATTTTTTGCAATGAGCACCACTCTCTGGCACGCTCCCTTTAAAATGACCTCCTTGGCCCCGTCCCCTATTCCGACCAATTTACCACGAGTTTATGGACTTTCCGCGGGACAACACAATGACACTTTACCCCCTCACCCAATACGGCCCATTAATTTCCGCCCGATCGGTCGAAAGTAGAGGACTCCAAGTTACCCCAAAAATTCTTAAATTTTCTCTGCTAGCTAGCCTAGCCCTGAAAAATTCCTCAAATTCTCTCTGCCAGCATATCCCGAAAATTCTTCACCGCATTTCCGCGTTTATATCAAATCCTCATTATCGATGCTGAAAGGACCCGATCAGTGGAAAAAGTTGAAACTCAGTTTTGACAAAAATAACGAATGGGTTCTTTAGGATTTCCGGTGGGGGGAACCAATTTTTCTCGGCACAAGCCTACATTTTTTTTCTAAACAGCGCATGCGTTTCTAAATGGTTTTTAACTATTCCTGAGCTTAAAACTACCCACATTTTAATTAAAAAATTAATTTTAAGTCGATAAATCCTATAGAACCTTTAGGATTAGCGGGGGGGAAAGACCCAAAATGACTAAATTTTCGACTTTTTCAAACATTTCTCTAACTTTTTTGGAAGGTTTTTGTACTTTAAATATATTTAAAACTTATTAAAAACAATGTGAAAACACTTTATATTTGATTACTAGGTGAACCGGGAAAACCAGGAAAAAATTTGGTTTCCCCCGGAAATTCTAAAGAACCTACAGAAAAGAAAGAAAATCGTATATCGATATATTATTATCAATGCCGAAAAAGCCCCGATTAGTACAAAAAGTTAAAACTCAGTTTTGAAAAAAATAACGAGTGTCTTACCGGCCATACATGCACCGGGTCCGGTATCGCAATCTCCGTGTAGTCGACGCCCTTTTGGAGCCTGAATAATAAATGCATTAATAATAACTAAATCTAGTGCAAGGATTGACGGCACAGGATTACAAAACACCCGCTAATTTTTTGAAACTCGTTTTTCCGCCACTAGAAACTACAATGAACTATCAACCATTTCTATCGTATTTTACACAATTCTTAGATATAAAAGGGTCATAAAAATTATTAGATTTGTCGAAAATGTTTTGCTTTTTGGCTAAAAATTGATGATAAATGACCAAAAAGCATAAATGTTGTTTGAAATGCATAAAATGCATAAAAATTGACAAGTCGGGCTTTTCGAATTTTTAGAACTATTTTTATAACATTCTAACAATCAAAAAATACCCAAACACTATATAAAAATACGTTCTTTATCAACAACAAGAAACTAGAAAATAAACATCAACACTCCCAAAAAGTAAAAAAAATTATTAAGGAGTTTCGGTCTCACAAGGCCCCAGAAAAAGCAGTAAAAAGCATAAAAAGCTAGTCACTTTAAAATTTTGATGAAACACTCTTTTTCATTTAATTTCATTACTTTACGAAACTGCTATTTTCAGCAAAAATTCACTCTAAAAAATTTTTAACTCTAAACGTGAATTCTATAGTTTGAAGTTCCAAAGAGCAACCCTAAAGCTCATTTTCTTCTTATTAAACTTTATTAAAAATTCCTTTCAAAATTAAGGTGAGTTTACGAACCTCAAATCCACAGTCCTCGCCCCGAGCGGACATTCGCCATACTGTGGGACGGATAACCTCTTAAAAGGCTTCAGACAAAATCTGAACAGCTCGATCCCGTCGAAATGAGCATCTACGTGAAGTCGGACTTGTACCGTGCCGATCGACGCCCACTGAAGATTTTTTAACTACCTTCAAAAAGCCAGATCCATACCGTAATCCCAAATATTAAACAGCCGCCGAGTAACCGGAACATTGGCGCTGCCGACATTTTGGAGGTGAATTTTCGAAGTTTCACAGAATTGTGTAGGTCTGGAGATTTCAATTGGGTTAATGCTGACTCTTCATCAGTAAAAACAGAAAAAAGAAATTGCAAAATAAAAAAAAGAGAACACAAATGAAAGTTTAAGTCGCACAAATTTTACAGAGATTTTATATTGAAAAGATTTATATATTAAAAAAACTATTTATTAAGCTTTCAAAATGAAATTATTTAAAAACCGCAGAAAAATTTGCAAAATTAAAAATCGGCCTTTTCGTTAAATTCCCACTTCCGGCGCCCTTAAAAATGGCTGACCGGGAAAAACGCAAGCCCGGGGCTCCAATTTTGGGTGCGGGAGCAAACGGGGCGGAGCCTGGTGCGATGAGCCCGATACCGTAGGCCACGCCCTTTTTTGGGCTGGAATCCCGGATGGTCTCACGCGGACGGAATAGCAAAAGGTCACTTTAGGTTACTTTCAAAATGTTGAAATTTGCTTAAACCCCCCCATAAAACCAGGAAAACCCCGAACCGAAGCACATGCAAAAAAATTCCACATCCTGAATTTCGACATTCTGAGTTTGCCATTCTGAAGTTTCGCCATGATGAAATTTGACAACATGAAATTTCGAAATTATGAATTTAATATGGTGATTGTCATATTACGATAGCAAATCGATGATTCGAAAAATTATAGATTTATGCAATTTGTAAACTCAAAAAGGTTGTAAGCCCATGCTTTAAATTTATGCGTTTCATCGTTTTTCGGTAAAGTACCGAACTTCTACTAAACAATTGAAAGGGCTGGCTTACGGAACTGAAAAGAACACACGATATTTGCAACTCTTCAACTGATCCAATGTTGCTGAAAATGTGTTTCATGGAATTGCATTGCGGCGGTCGCGTTTTTTTTTTTTAATCAATTAATGTTTTTGTCCGTTTGTACTGGTCAGAAAACAGACAGATCTGTTATTGATTTAGCTACTTAGCTTTCGCTTACAATTCAGTGTTCGCCCTGTCGTAGAAAAAAATGGCTGGAAAAAGAAGGTTCCGAATCAATTAGCTTAAAAATGCAGCGGCTAATTTTTTTCGAAGCCAATGTTTCATGCAGTCGCATAGTCATCTGTTTCCTCCAGTTGCTAGTTCGGCATGGGATAGAAAGTTCATTGAATTTTTTTGAAACTGCCTAGATTTAGTTCGACCGGCTTTCATTTCAAAAACTTACAGCTACATCCAAGAACAAACTTTATATGTATATGTTTATATTTTAAGTATAAACAAAAACTTGTTAAAGGTAAAGGCTAAATCAGCTAAAAAATCAATTCCTTAAACCAAAAAAAGTTATGGCAAAACTATGTTTTATCCTATGCCCAGTAAGACAGAGACCCTATTCCTTAATTCGGCGGGAGGGAAGATAACAAGGAAAAAAATCGTATTATGACAGGAAGCTGCCTAAGTAAAATTCTATCAAATATAGGGGTTTCACAAATTTCTAGCGAACTCATGATTTTTTTATAGGGATAAAAAGGTAAAAATAGAGCTCCAAAATTCCCCTTAAAAACGCGTCAATTTTAATCAATATATGTTGCATGGAATTTGCTGGTGAGAGAAAAACTAAGTTCTGTTAATCGGAAGTGCATGCATGCATGAAATACAAAAACAAGAATTCCTTTAGGAAATGAAGGGCCGACGAAATTCCTAGAAAATAAAGGTGTTTCAGAAATTTCTAGTAAATAATGCTCCCGCTTACCACTTTATTAACAGTTTATTACAACAACGAATAAAAAGCTTAAGAAAATTAAAAAATCACTTTAACATTGCCAAATATCTTTATAATTACGCGTAACTTTCATGCCTTAAACAAAAATAAAAAATTTTTATGACAGGAAGGGGTCGTAAAATAGCCAGGTGTCCCTCTCTTTGCCGTTCCACCCTCCGAAAATGTGCATGTTAAATCGGGGATGGGTGTATTTGATCGGGATGGCGGAAGACATCAAGGGACCCAGCGAGGGGGCCCTAAACTTGTCTGCTTTCCGTTTGTATCGCTCTTTCGCAGTCTCTCTCTCTCTCGCCCTGCCGCCCTAAAAACTCTCCACCCTCTCTTAGCTCATTTGCATACAGTGCCACACGCCCAAATATACCTGCTCGACCCAGGCGTCTTGACCGGAAATTGGGGGATTTTTATAAAAAACTAAGCCTTAGTTATTTCTATTAAAAGACCACCTATCATTAAAAATATTATATGCGTCAACAACTTTAGTAGAAAATATGTTTTAATGCCCAGTCTAATTGGCAAATGTTTGGACACCAGAATGTCTTCTCGGTTTCAAAAAATCTATGTTAAAAATCCAGCCTTTTGAATATAATTTTTTCGACACCCGCCTTTTTGATGATAATCGTATTTATCTCTTTATTTTATTTATTTTATTAATATCTTAAATGAATGGATGAATTAATGGTGATCGAATGGCCACTAAGGTATTCACAAAATTACGAAAGCATCATAAATGGTGGCTAAAACTATGTTAATTTTATTGCTTTTAATTGTCTCAAGAATACTCTAATATCCTAGAAAAATATTAATATGGCTGCGATAAAAAAAGCAAACAACTTTATACTTTAAAACCCACGTTACACCGATTAAAAATATCTTCAAAAACAATGTTTTAAGAAAAACATTGCTATAATTTTCCAACCAGGGCTAATTAAACCAATTTTCCAGTATTTTAAGGCATGTTTCGCAATTTTTGGAGTAATATATCTATTGTTTTTCCCAAATGAAATACATTTGCGCTAAATGCAAAAATCTCTAATCTAAAAATTTCCGGATACGGTAGGTAGCTCTAACGGCCTAAAGAAAGCGATCCATCTCCTGTATCCCCCCAAATCGAGGTCGGCCCGCTGGCAACACGGTCGGCAAAGACGGATCGCCAATCAAATTCCCTTTTACACCACTGGACCAACCCCCCGCGGGGGATGAATCGAAATTTGGAGCGAATCGGGATGGTTTCAATTTCGATTTTATGGAAGCATGGTTAGTGAAATCTCTCTCTCGCTCTCTCGCTCTCACCCTCTCTCTCTCTCTCTCTCTCGAAAAAAAGCGGAAAGGTGAAAAATGGCTTAAAAACTTTTAAGTTTTCAAATTTTTGAAGGAAATAAGAAAAAAGGGTAAGGGAATCAGAAAAACTGTTTCAGTGTAAAGTAATGGTAAATGGCGGTCAATCTGCACAATTTTAGCGATTCTCGAGCGTTATATATTTTTGCTTGAGAAATGGATGATTAGACATTGCATATTAGCATAAATTCCGTATTCAAACATTGTATTAAATATATTAAAATATATCAATATCCCATTAAAAATCGGAGCGTAATTTTTGTATCAACACCCTTTTAGACGAATCACAGAAAGGTTTTAAACGCGGGTTGTTTGATTAAACTAGCTCAAAAGTTCAGGAATAATTTTTGCCATAAAAATAAAGTGTTTTAAAAAGTCTCAGATGGCGGGAAAAAGAAACCACTAGACTGAAAAGAAATCCCCGAACAAGCACGTTGCATCCAAATTGCAGCTCAGCACACCGTTAGGAACTATAATATCTTGATAAGATACTACATGACAATAAATTTTATTTTCAAAAAACTAGAAAGATCAAATACCCTAAAACCTCGTGTATAGTTCCGGTACAATTTGGTTACATACCAATACAACTGAGACCAAATAATGTGCGTATGGGGCAATGCGCCGCAAAAGCTATATAAGGCTAAAGAGATGATTCTCAGGATCCCCACCATCAATTTCTTTCATTAAGCCACTTAAAATATTGGAAATAGTCGAAATGCGATCAATAATTCCAACGAAATCGCAAAACTTCCACTCGCCAAGCGAGATATTTGCAAAAACCCGAAAAACGAAACGCACCAGTTTACGGTTATACGGAATTACGGAAGATACGTATTTTCACCCGGAACTATACACGGGGAGGAACTATACACGAGGTTTAGGGTAGATAAAATAAAAAATTCAAATAAAGAGAAAAGAAAATGGAAAATTAAATGTTTCAAGGAAGTTCCGTGTAGAAAGAATTGGTCTGGTTTCATTGCGCCGACTATACCTTACATAAAAGTAAAAACCGCTATAAATTACAATATATAGATTTTTAAGGAAATGTATCGAATAAAAAAGCGGAATTACTTTTTTATTTTTTATTTACAAAAATTACGATGTTACAATTTTTAACTAGAACGTTTTCTAAACTGTAGACTTTTAAAAGGTATTAAATACTCTACTAACGTTAAAAAGATAGAGTAAACCAGAGAAATTGAGTAAAATTATGTTTGACTTTCAGGCCTAATCACGAAAAGTGCACGGCCATTAGCAGGGAATGATGATGATGCTAGAGGGGGGCAGATAAGAATCTTGCCGCAGGGCATCTCCCCTCTAGATGTGTCAAAACCCTCCGTCAGCCCCCAAAATCAACACGTCGATAAAACGTTTTGCCCTTTTGCCATTTCCCCAGGCTACTCTCGGTTAAGAAAAAAATGTTTCAAAAAGTCTGATACAACCCTGAGTGAAAATTACTGGAATTTTCTATTTAGCTGATTTTCTTGGTCTTACATCCGATGGCCCTAAAATTTTTTGGCAAGATGTGCAGTGGGCTGAATTAAATAGGATATAATTTTTAGTACCAAATATACTCAACTCAAAAAGTTACAATTATATTTTAAGCTGCTTAAATGGCAGCTCGCAAAAATTCTTTGAAAAATCATAATTGCTTCATCCTATATCCGATCACTCCAAAATTTTTAACACAGCTGGAAAAACGCGTATGATATATTCTGGTAAGTTTCGAAAAGTAAATAATAAAAACGAAGGAAGTTGTGTCGAATTTGTTGATGTGATGGGACCTGGTAAAACGCCAAAAAATCATGTTTCAGTCCATGACAACTGTCATTTGAGCGTTTAGATGAACAATATCACAATTCCCAGGGGTTTGAATTAA